CGGTACCCTCCGTCTCCCGGTAGAACCTGTTGCGACCCCCTCGGCTGGGAGCTCCGAGGGCAGGTGCACGCACCACCCGGCTCCGTTTTCTTTACGAGGTAGCGCCGAAGGGTGAATGTGGGGAGCCGAGGGGAAAACATTTTAAAACCTGGGTGTCTGAAACTTAAGTATTTTCTCCGCCACCGAAGAAGAAGCGGGGGGAGGGGGCACAGAAGTGGGGGTGGGGGGGGAGAGAGAAGGGGAACCGTCGCTTTTCTGGCCGAAGGCCAATGTTTCTAAACTGAATGTAAACAAAGAAAACTGCAAACACCAGAGGAGGGCCTTCCACCGCCGCCAAGGCTGGGGGGACATGTTCCCAAAGGGGTGCCGAGCTTTGCCCACGCCTCGTTTCCCTCCGGGTCCTGAACGCCCACGGTCACCCCGGCCACCGCCCTCGGAGCCGCGGGACGGGGGGGAACTTTCTGCCGGCGGGGACGGCGCAGGGTAGCAAGCCTGGAAAAAACCCAAAACAAGTGTGCTTCTTTTTGTTTTTGTTTTTTTTTTTTTTTGTTTGTTTCCTTTCAACTTGCTTTTGGGGTGTTTTTTGTTGTTGTTGTTGTTGTTATTGCTGCTGTGTTTGTTTGTTTGTTGGCTTGGTGGATTTTTTGTTATTTTGTTTGGTTTGTTTTTTTTTTTTTTTCTTGAGAGCGAGGGCTCGTCCCTCCCGCCCCGGGAGGCAAAGCCGCTGTGCCCCGGGCGGAGACCGGGCTTGTCCGAGCCTGCCGAGCGCTCCCGGCTCCAGCCCCGGGGCTCCGTGGAGCTGCTGGTGCTATTACTTATAACATGCTCGGGAAAACATCCACGGGGCTCCTGCTCGGTTGAGCAAATCTTTCTATACTTAGACGGAAAAATCCTTCCTTGCTGTCACACAGGCCGGTGGGTTGTCACTGCGGGGTTAGAGGGGAGCTGGAGGGAAGGAGGAAGGCTGAAGACGTGCGTGACCGTGACATCGGCTGTATGATCGCCCTAAAAATACTCATGATGGACCCGCGGGCGATTCTTGCCCAGCAGAAACACAACCGTCGAACCGGGCGACGTTTAGGGGGTTTTCTCCCGCTCCTTGTTTTCGTGAGTTCTATGGGGGGATGAGTTCTCTTCTTAGGCTTCGGACAACAGATGCCTTCACGATGATGATTTTCTAGGGGAGAGTGCTATTCCCTCGGAATTCTCCCCCTCCTGCTCTGCCCAACCTACGCACGGTGGAGCTTGTGGTGGAGCTCCCTGCGGAGCGGGGAGCGCAGGTAATGCCTGAGGAAAGCTCAGAGTGGATAAAATAAATTCCGTTAGTGTGGTGCCTTTCTTGAAGCGTCCCCTGAATGCCGGGCTTTCCTCTCCTCAGCTACTTCGCCGCCAGATCTCCGTCCCACATCGCTGCTCTTGCGACAGAACGCGGTGCTTGCTCATCTTCCGTGGGCTCTCCGTGGGGACTGCGGCTACTCTTTGCTCCTTCTGCTGTGGTTACAGAAAAAGAAAAGGAAAAAAAAAAAAAAGGGAAAGGGGAAAGAAAAAAAAATTAACGAAAATTACGTAGTTCGAAGACGGATGGTGTTGAGTGTTGGATTGTTTTTTTGCGTACAAAACCCGTGGCACAAGTGAGCTCTTTTAACACCCTTTTAACTGATGGTGTAAAAACTGACTGGTGGTGGAAAGTAGTAAATAGTGGAAATAAAGGATAGATCCAAACTGTGAACCGTGAATAAACCTTATTGGAAAGAGCTGAAGTAAGCAGAGAGTAGGTAGGCAATTCTCTCGCTTCTGTTCTGAAAAAGGAGTGCGACGCGTTGGCACTTTTTTTTTTTTTTTTTTTTTTTTTAACATTCTGAGAGAAAAGAGTAAAGAAATAAAAACAGCGTTGTGGTGGAAATGGGATGATAAAAGCGAGATGTAAAAGGCATAAGTACCGAAGTGGGTATGCCCGCCCCGGGCGCTGCCCCGCCGCAGCCCGGTGGCTCGGAGCCGGCGGCTGAGCTTCAGCAGAAGCCACGGCGTTCAGAAATGTTGCAACAGCACTTTGGAAGTCTCTAAAGAAAAGCTGAATTGTTGGAACTTAGGTAACTTAAGGAAACTCGTTATGACCTACATTGCTGTTCTGAGTCAGCAGCTGCAGCCCCAGCCCCGGCGGGTCCCGCCGCCGCCGCGCACCCCGCACCCCTTGGGCGGAGCCGCCCCCCCGCCGCCGCCCGGGCTCGCTGCTTCCCGGGTTTACAAACAAACTCGCCTGGATCGAGACGGTTTCACTTCTGCTCTAAGAAATATGCCTCTGCTGCCTTTTTTTTTTCTTTTTTTTTTTTTTTTTTTTTTTCCCCTCCTCCCAGGTCTGCGGACAGAGCAGCTTGCCTGCCTCAGCGCTGGTTTACCGGCGGTTTTTTAAGGGGGAAAGAGCTTAAGCGGAAGACAAGGTCTTTTTCCCAAGTTTTAAAGAGCTGTACTTTATGTCCCGAAGGGATAGTCATTGTTTTCTCCACCGGGAAATAGATGCCTTATAGGGAAAAGTTCCTACATGTTGCACACTGCTTTGCTCTTACGATAGAGAAGGAAACTCTGAAGTTCCAATCAAAAACTTACCAAACAACTTTCCATATTTCTTCTGTAAAGTAAAGTAAAAGTAGCAACGATTAAACTCCAAATGTCCACACTGTCAAGATTCATAGTTGAATCCAGTTTGCAGCGAGCTCGGACAGTTGCGCCGAGCGTTTGTTTAACGCACGGTCAGCGTCAGGGGAAGAACCCTGAATGTTTTAACATCGTGATTAAAGTAAGCTGTGCGCGAAGATATCGCATCACCCCGGCCAGGCGAGGGACGGGGAAAATCATCCAGTCAGCTTTCTTTGATATTCAAAATGACGAAAGACTCGAGATGAAATGACCTCAGAAAACTCCGCCTTTGGAAAGCCGCGCTTGCCGCCTCTCCCTTGCCCCCCGCCGTTCCCCCTCAATTCTCACTTTTTGTTTATCGACACGTCGTTGCCACCAGCAGGAGAACTGAGAAGACAAAACTTAGCTCCAAACGCCTTGGTTTTCCGGTCAGGCGTTTACCGGGTTTGCTCACCGCTTCGAGCGCCGCTTTTGGTATTATTGTCATTACTACTGATATATTTTTATAAACCTTTAGGGTTTTATTGGTCAAGTACGGCAACTGACTGAATTTAATAATAGGACCAAAAAATCTAATTTCCTTTTCTTTATTTATTTTTAAAAAGAAAACTTGACAGCAGTGATAGAAGCTTGATTCGATGCTCTTTAGTAACAACTTGTAGCAGCTGTGAGTTTCTTGCAACAGTGATAGTTCAGTCTCCTCTTAAGAAACCAGCGAAATTCGGAGACAGAGGCTGAAAGCAGCTCCCCGTGCCCCTAAGCAGGGATGGGGGCAGGAGAATGCCTCCTGCGGTTTTGGGTGTCGGGAAAAAGTTGTTTCTCGGTTTGCTGGCGGCACCCCCCCAAGCCCCGTTTCCCAGCAGATTCCCAGTTTGCAGCTGGACACGGGGATACGTCCCTGCTGCCTCACCGTGGGGATGAGCCACTGTCGCTCAGCCGCCTCCGGCTCTGCGCTCGGCGGGCGCTGCCAACCACCACTAAGTAAAGTCAACGCCTTCACCTCCCTGATCTTTATTTTTTCAAAGAACCCCTAAAATTCCCCCGTGGTGTCATGGAAAGAGAGAGCTCTTCTTGCTCATAAGCCCCAAATGTCAAAGGCAAAGGAGAGAAGATATTTGCACTTAAGGGAGGAAAAAATGGAAGAAAAACCCAAACCGAAAAATCAAAAATCCAAGCCCAACAATAAAAGCCCCAGATGTAGCTGGGGAGGAGAGAGAAGTGAGGGAAGAGGGAGTGAGAAGGGGGGGCTTCAGCTGTACCGGAGCTGACACGGTGCGTCTGCACTTTCAGCGAAGCAGGAGCGACTCCGGCATCCCGCTTTCCTCCTCGGCGGTTTTCTTGGGAATTCTGCGGGAGCACCGAGGTTTCTCCCGGGCTGCACTCCCCGGGCTCTGCGAGGCAGCCCCAGGACCCCGTGACCTCCCCTTGCCCCTCGCTCAAACGCCTCGGGAGGGCTCGGGCAGCCCCGCAGCGGGAGGAGGGCGGGTTGTGGAGACCCCTCCGCTCCCCCAAATCGCTCTCCGTACGGTTAAGCCCCCAGAATGGGCTGGAAAGGCGAGATTTTGGGAAACCTGTGGAGAGAGTGGACGTGATCTGCGTGTCGAAGCGAAGCTGAAGGATCAGTAAGCCGCAGTTAACACCGGTCACTTCTACCGAGATTTTTGGGGCACTTTTACTTTTTTTTTTTTCCTAATAGTTTTTTGGGGGGTGTGTCCAGACCCGGGTAATTTCGTAATAATTTTTCAGACACCGTTGTCGATGTCCAGCGTGTGTGACTAGGTTGTTAAAGACTAGGCGATTTTTGTTCATACAAACTGGATCTCTGCGAGGTTTAATTTAATCCCGTGCCGCTCATCACGTTTCTTTTACCGAAAAAAGTACCTTTCTGGAGAGCCCGCCGTCAGCTCGGTACTGCTCTCTATTGCAGGACCGAAAAGGTACGATGCAATGTATGCAAAGTGACTGTAGCCTTTCAGGATGTTACTGAGGTTAAATCCAAGTCCCGGGACGGTAAGAGCAAAAACCTGGTAGCCGTCCAAGAACAAAATCGTTGTTTTCAATTGAGTCGAGGTTTGCTGTGGGCGGTTAGTTTTTTGGGTTTTTTTCTACCCTCCTTTCTTCTTTTTCTTTCCTAATGTAGCTGGAAAGCGTCTTTGTTCTTTGTAAATTAGTGGGGTCTTTAACACGTTCTCGTCACGATTGGGACGATATATACCGCAAAAATGACAGCGCTTAGCAAAAGAAATGCAGCAACCTGGACGACCAGCGTCCCAGCGAGCACTTATCTTTTCCTTTTATTTTTTTTTCTTTTCTTTTACTTTACTTTTTATTTATTTATTTA